CAGCAATGATAATCTCCGCTACCAATGTGAGATTTTTTATCATGTGAATTTTTGGCTTCTCTGCAATTTTCTAATTTTCTAAACGTGACTATATCCCATCTGTAATAATAAATGAGATATTTGCAAAATGTATATAATACTAAAAGGTTCACAGTCCATTTTCGTGTGTATTCTTTGATTCTACCTTTCCGTGAGAATAGGATATTTTTTTCTTTTCCTCATTTTAGAGATAAATAAATTTACCCTTCAAGAACATAGGTAATTTACCTGAGGTTACCCACTGAAGCGAGATGCAGGACAAAAACCATACCAGGTCTTCTGGGTAAATATTGCACAGCTTCCTTATGCTAAGGCCTGCATTAGGTAGAGCAGAAGAGGGAAGTGGAGACTCAAGAAATGACAACACTTAGGAAAGCAGTTATGCAATTTTAAATAGAAGAGATCCAAGGGTAAGATGCAACTTTAAACGCCACATTTTCAGAAATACATGCATCTTTCAGTGCTAAACTGAATCCTCTATTACATAGGCCAAAATATAGTCTTGCTAGGAATCTGGAGGGAACTATTTGCTCCAATAATTTAACCTCTGACTTCTTAGTTTATGCCTTAAGGTAAATAAGATAGTCATCCCCCTTCCGTATCTATCACACGGAGATGTTGCAAGGATTAATGAATAGTGTGCTGGGAGCTCCTTTGAAAAAAGAGCTATTTGAATGCCACATATCATTAGCAGATTAATATTAATTATAATTATTTACTCAATTTATCTTCCTGTTTCTCAGAGTCAAATGCAATACCCAGCAGACCCACAGAAGGAAGAAAATCTTTCTTTGCTACTTTTGTTGGCGTGAAAGAGGGAAAGAAGAGAGAAAGAGAAGGGAGGTTGGTTCTCCCTGCTTCTTCCCTCTGGATGTTTTTGAAAACGAAGTTCAACCTCATGGCCATACATATGACTTATTTTTAGTGCCTCTGAGGTTTGCTTCTGTGGTGTTAAACATTGTTTCTTCTCAGGCCATGTAAGACAGGAACAGAGCCCCCTTCATGGGCATGTAACCCGTGCGGCTGCACAGAGCCCTATGCTCAGAAGGGCACCATATTTGCCATCTTAAAACTTGTAATAATATTATCTTTGAACTTGTGTTTTGTAAGTGATATCTGATGGGACAATGGAGTATATGCCAGGGGCTTGGAGCCTTGGCTCATGCCCTTTCTTACTTCCTGTCACCTTCCTGTCTCCCTGGTGCCTTCGGAATCGTCCAGCTTCCTTTTCCCACCTGCACCTGTGACCACTGCTGTCCTCCATCCCCAGTCAGGGTACCTGCACAGGGAGCATCTGAGTTAGCCATGTGTGCTTTGTAGCCTCAGGTGGGGTATGGTAGCAGCTGTCTCTGCCCTGAGCTGGCATGGCTGTGGTAGACAAAGTCTGATGGGGGTGACCTCTTGTCCACTTCTGATTCAGGAACCCAGCATGTCCCTGCTAAGAGGTTGCAGTACCCTTAGCAGTATGCTAAGTACCCAAAGGGTTGTCTGCTGTGAATAGGGACATGGGGACCATGGAAAGGGAGAAATAACCTAACTTGACTTCCCCAGCTCTCGTGCCTAGTGGGGGCACAGCTCATCAGTCTGGCAGCTATCAGGAAGGAGTAGCCAGCTGTTGGTGAGCTATGCATGTACCCTTAGTCATAAGAGGCAAGGCCTTCAGGTTGCTGTGAGGGTCCGCACTCACCTCAAAGTATCCCAGTGCCTGAAATAATATAATATTTAAACACACCAAGCCATTAATTGTGACAAGTGTAGCATAATAATTAAGATGTTAACATTGGGGAAATCAGGATGCAGGGTACATGGGAACCCCCTGTATTATCTTTGCAGTTTTCTGTCAGTCTGAAAGTATTTTAAAATAAAAAGTGTATGAAGAAAAAGCCCACCATGACAAGTTGGAAGAGAGAATGCAGAAGAAAGGGAAAACACTTTATATTTTAGTATCTTTTATAGCACTTTTACTGCTTTTTGAACAAGGGGCCCTACACTTTGAGTTTGCACTGGGCCTTTCAAATTATGCAGCCGATTTTTGCTGTAAAATTCCTTGTTGAATATGTAATTCAGCTATCTCCCTTGCTTTTCTTCCTCACACTCTTTCTTACCCCTCACCACTCGGCCTCTGGATTTCTCCAATTGCCATTAATAATTCTCCTATGCATCTGTCACCTACTAAGAACTGGCTACCATCCTAAGCAATTCGTATATTTTATCTTATTTCATCCCCGTATAACTTTGTGAGATAAGTCTTTTTATCCTTATTTTACAGATGTAAGAAATTGAGCTAGGACCACACAGTAAGTGGTAGAAGAGAAAGTCAGTAGTCATGATTCTCACTCCAAATATGGTGCTTTTTTCCACAGTGCTACAGACAGACCGTTTAGTCTCCAGGTGCCCAGGTATTTGTAGGCTGCTTAGGCACTTTGGTTTCCATTCCTCCAATTATTTACGGAGTATCTTCCAGGTTCCAAGCACTGGGTGTGGTGCTAATTAAGCTAGAAAGTTATAGCAGGGATGCCTGTCCTGAGCTGCTCTGGTCATTTTCTTTGATTGTATTCCTAGGTAGCAGGTGTTTGATGTTTCTCTGTTTAGTACAGTCTGACCTCTGTGCCCCTGCCTTAGTTGCCGTGATAGGAAAACTATAAAGTGGACACAAAATCAATGAAAAAATGAAGCAAGAAATGAAAAACAATGAAGCAAGACCCCTTCATATCCGTTGTCTAGTCACCCACATCTCACATTGTACCAACTCTGGAAGTACGTCTGGGCTTGTTCCATATAATAGACGCATGAGCTCATTGGTGTATCTTTGAAGAGTCCTTCTCTTTTTCAGTAATTTTGTTGGCATAATTACTATAAGTATTTCTTCTGTCAAACTTGAGTAGAAATCAAATCCTTTTTTTCCTCTTCATGAAGGAGAAATGTGACGTATCATCTTGCAGTCGTTTTGCATATCAGTGGATTCAAAAGGTTAGGGGCAAACTGCTTTCTCGCCACGGTCCTGGTGAATGTCTGATCTTATTGACAGAGAACCACAGGTCGTGATGTGGAAGACACGAAGGTAGTAAATCTCCAGCAGCTGGGAAGTTGTTGGACTTTTTCCTTTATTAGAGGCAGGGAATGAGGATGGGAGGGTTCTGTCTCTTTGGAAAAAGCTTCCTTGGAAGAAGTGCTCTTCTGGAAGCAAACAGAGGAGGCAAGGGGGGTGTTTTGGACACACTAGAGAGTAAGTCAGAGAATCTTCCGTGTTGAGGCAACATTGCAAAATTGAAGTGGAAGAAAGGAAGGAAGGTATGTGCAAGTCTGGCTTGAAATGAATTTTATTTAAAACACCTCAATTCTTCTCTGCACATTTTTGAGGAGTATGAAAAAAAAATGGAGGAAGTTACCTCCAGTGGTTTTGTGGCTTTTTAAGTATGACATACAGGATATTGAATTTAACCCCTGTTTACCCTGAGGTGTGTGAATATTCTGAGGACAAACAAAGCAACTATTCTTTGAAATATGCGTCTGTGGCCAAGTGATTCCAGTTACTTGGAATCACAGTTCTGTTGATTCTCTTTTCTGCTTCAAGTATTTGCACACCACAGACATAAGATTATTCACATAATAATTTTTGAAAACTGTGGTCTTGCTAGAGTTTCTGTATAAATGTATAAAAATGTGTTTTAAATATGGCAGGAATGTTATATTAGAACTCTATACGAGATTTTACATTTTATTAGTGCCTATTGTGTGTTTGTATTTCAGAAAGCTTGGTAAAGTTAATAAATGCTGTTTCTCTCAAAAACAGTCATGTATGCAGGAGAGTCCGACTGCTTTATACAACTCTCTGTAGCTTCATCATTTCATCTAGCATTTATAAAGTTAATTCAGTGTTTATTAAGATAGATTTCTTAAGCCAATAATCTGAAGTATTTCTTGAAGTATAGACTCTCAAACTTTTGGATGTAAAATGACATGTTAAGGATATGTAAAAAGAGTTTTAATCACCTAGCAAAAAAAAATGTAATCTTCAAAACAATATTTTTCATATGGACCACCAAAAAATATTTCCAGAAAGTCTAGATTCTTAGAGCAACAAATCAGAGCCCCCAGCTTTAATCAAAATAAAAATCTGCAGCATTCACATCTGGCTCCACCTGAAAGTCCGGTTCAGAATTTCCCTGTGATCCTGGCACTTGCAGAAGGGAAGTTTTAGCTTTGTTTAGTATAACAAGAGCTGCAGGACTCCCAGGCCAATAAACGTGTTCACGTAAAACTCCAGACAGTTTCTCTTAGACTGAAGTCTTATCAGGGAAACCTCATTTTCCCTCTAATTAAAGGAAAGATTTAAGGGAGAGAAAGGAATAGCCTATGCCTCCTACTTGTGTGGGTAGGTGTTAGCTGAATTAAAAGTTATTCCAACATGAACACATTCCCCAGCATGAATGACTGCCCAGACGTTGAACGTAATGGTCAATCAGTTTTCCCCAAAATTTTAACTGTTTCATTTAGAAGAAAAGCAAAAATGAGAAAAAGCTTTCTTCATTTCTCCTTGAGATGGCAAAACACTCAGAAATGACATCACATACTCTAAAGAACCCTGGGATGACTAAGGCAGGGAGAGCCTGAGAAAACTCTTTGCTGCTTCTGCCTTTAGTTTTAAGACACATTTATGCAGATGAGCTTATAAGAGACCGTTCCCTCCGCCTTCTTCCTCAGAGGAAGTTTCTTGGTAGATCACCGACACCTCATCCAGGCGGGGGGGTGAAAACTTGGCACCAGTCATCCCAGGCAGAGCACCACTGTGATTTGTTCTCCTGGTGGAGAGAGCTGGAAGGAAGGAGCCAGCGTGCAAATAATGAAGGAGCACGGGGGCACCTTCAGTAGCGCCGGAATCAGCGGTGGCAGCGGTGACTCTGCTATGGACAGCCTGCAGCCGCTCCAGCCTAACTACATGTCTGTGTGTTTGTTTGCAGAAGAATCTTATCAAAAATTAGCAATGGAAACGCTGGAGGAATTAGACTGGTGTCTAGACCAGCTAGAGACCATACAGACCTACCGCTCTGTCAGTGAGATGGCTTCTAACAAGGTAAGAGGTAACCTTTTTATTCATTAAAGTGTGATCTTGCAGGGAGCTCTGGCTCCCCTCGTCCCTGTCTGCAGCAGAGTGTACCAGGGGACGCTAGCGACCCTAAGAATATGTTTGTTGCTTTGTCTAGAAGAGTCTGTTCCAAAGTGTCACAATCTACTTGTGTCTTGATGCTACTGCAAAAGTTTAAAATCTTCAGTACGCTTCAATTTCCAGAAACCAAACTTCTCTCTTACTGATGCAATTTGGAATATGATGAAGGTGAGAGGTGTCTGTCTGTAAGGTTCCCAAACCAATATAAAATTGAAAATGCTTTAAAATTTTTTAATAATTACCAGGAAGCTAAAATCTGTGTGAGTCTACAGGGTAAAATGCGTAGCATGTTGCATTGCAATCAGGTGTTACATATGTATTTTTAGACAAGAAAGTAGTTTTAACCTTCATATACCAATGGGAGGGAATGGTTTGTGTTCGAATTTGATAAATACCCTCTAAGAAATAGGACATCCTGGGATTTTCTAATGTTTCTTTTGTGATGCTGGCATTGCCTAAGATAAAAAGGAAACAATATGCTTTGTCTCCAAAACCGGAGGTTTACTTTTTTAAAGTGTGCTGATTTTCATAGAGAAATCATTTGAAATTGTTTCATGCATAGTGCCCCCAAAATGATTTTATTTACAATCCCCAGACAAAGCTTAATGTGGAAGAGCTTTAATTATCTATCATTATATCATTTGTTTAATTATCACCTGGACTTACAGTGCTAATTTATGTAGTGAGAGTTGTTGCTTTTTTTTTTTTTTTTTTGTATTTTTACCTTGGAGAATATTATATGAAATACATATCATTATAAAGTTATACAAAGTTATATATGTGTATACACAGATATGCAGACACACACACACACACACACACACACACACACACACACTTTGTTAGAAAGCCCTACACCATACCCTCATAAGTACACACTTTCAGAGTCCCAATCATTCTGGCCTGAGGTATCATCTTATTGTCTGTGTTTTTGGGGCTGGAAAAAGATTTTTCTCCACACCTGCCAGCATGCCCTGAGGTGCTCCAGCGAGTGTGTGTCCCTTCCCCAGCTTTCCTGGGGTAAAAGTACCACCTTTGAATCACGGCCTGCTGGCTGCCACTCAGAGGATCTGCGCAGAGGAAGCAGTGTGTCCTCAGGAGATCCTGAAGGAGGGGAGGGGGGACTCTTCCTACTTGGAACTCTTTGTTTATTGGTTAATGAAAGGGTGAAAATAAGTCCCTTTCTAAAATTTTAGTTTAGAGTTGAAGTTGGAAGGGAAAAAAGGGAAAATAACACATTTGAGGATTAACTATTTATTGACTTTTCTCTGAAGGTCTCCATTGAAGGTTAAACTCAGGGATTTTCCAAGCTAGGGTAAAAACTCAACCAACTGCTTCCCCATGAGGAGGGCTTTGCTGTGTAACTTCTCCAAATCACGCTAGGACTTCATGTGGAAGGACTTTCATAAGGCTTCAGCCTACTTTGGAGGGTTAGCAGACACTCTGTTTCCTGCATTTTGTGATGATTGACAGCCAGGCAAGATGTAGATCCAACATTTATGGGGCAGTTTTTCAACAGTTTTCACCGGAGAGAACGTGGCAAACTTAGATAGTCGCCAAAATAAACTAACTAGAGTCACCAATATAAAGCAGGCAATTAACTCCAAGAAGAAGGAAAGAATACTCCCTGAGAAACTACAAATTGCCATTCATTTTCATGTTGAGTGTTGATATGCTGTAGTATTCTAATCCCATTCATGCCTACAGTGCTGAAATTAGACATTGGCTGTCTCGCAAATTTATTAAAAATAATCTCATATTCAGCATAGTAGTAAGGTTCTGAGACCAGGCACTCTGTAGACACGGGTGAGGATTGCAATCCCTCAGGCTTCCGCTCCTTCTTTATGGTGCTGTGTGCAGGAAGCAATGAAAGTTGAATAGAGCTAACCCTAACAAAAGGGCTAACCCTCACAAAAGGGCTAACCCTCAATGCTGACACCGTTAGCTTAAGTAAAAGGCAAGCAGCGTCAGTCATTTTCTAGATCTATAGAGGAAAGGGTGTTAGGCAAAGCAATTATTTAGTGCATGAATGATGCCCAACTGACAGCTAAGATCATTTTTTAAAAAGATCTCTTTTTACTTTACTACCTTTGAAAAAATTGAGTGATTGTTCAGATAATTGTCTCAGGTAAAGCTTAAGCAAAGCAAGCACTGTGGCACATATGATATAATGCAGTGAGGCCAGGGCGTGTTGGTTCACACCTACCATCCCAGCTCTTTGGGAGGTCGAGGCAGGTGGATTGCTTGAGCCCAGGATTTCGAGATAAATCAATGCAAACATTTTTGTGGCCACCAGAAAGAAGTTGATCTATACCAGTTGTTTGGGAACTGAATTATCCATGGCAAGAAAAAAAAAATACCATTCCATATTCAGTTTTAAACGTTGTTGAAATTATCTGAGATTTCCATCCACGCTGACATTTTAAAACTTTATCACGATCATTCCTCCCATTACTGTGTAGTCTTATACGGCTGTATTTTGCTTACCCTCACCAACTAAGGGGCCAGGGTAAGTCTCTGAGTTGCAGATCTGGAAGTGATGTGAAGACATTATAGAGGGAGTGCACTTAGCAGCAGCATGCACTACACTTTTGCAGAAATCTGTGTTCCTAGTTCTGTTCTAGCTAAGTGCCCACTAAGTTTTGTTCACAATATCTGATCTTAAGAATGGTGATAGGTGAAATCGTGTTATACTGAGGAGTATTTGGGAATTACGTAAGTGCCGTCTACATGCAACTGGTGAAGAGTTAACAGTGTTTGGTGGAGGAAAAGCAAGCATCTTTCATCTTTACCTCGTCTAGGTAGGGTGGTGCTTTTTTTGTTTGTTTGTTTTCCTTAATCCCTTAAGTTTTGAAGAAAACTGAGTGACTCAAAGATCCTAAAAGACTTTCTCAAATGTATTTGACAGCCCAGACAGAGAGTTAGTTAAGGAACTGCTTCTGTGACTTACAAAAACATCATCTTTTCTGGCCCAAATTTCTCTAATCCCTTAATGCTGGCCATAGGCCAAATAGAATTCCAGAATTTCAGAGAACAGTGCAGCCAGGTAGGTCAGTCTTGTAAATTATTCTCCTCCAAGAATTACTAGAAGATGGAGTAAGTTAGCAGAAGATTTTACAAGGCAATGGTATTGTTACTTAAGATGAAAGGGATGTCTCGTGAACCTTCTGCCAGCTGCCCGAATTCTATTTGACGTGTTAGAGCTAGCCGTTTCGCTTAACGACAGACTGCCTTCTTAGAATCGTTCGTTAATTTTTGTTTTTCAATTTTCATTGCCTCCTAAATTAGAAGAATTGTCTTACACTTCAGTGAAACGTATCAGAGCATGAGTTCCTCATGGCAAAACAGCCAGATGTTTTGAAAACAGGATGCTCTGGCTCTACATTATAAAAAGAGGAACGGAAAGAGAAACAGTACAGAAAGGAAGAAAGCAAATAGCCTCAGCAGGGTCCCCAGCCCAACAACGGCAGAAACTGTGACCTATCTTCCTGACCTTCACTGTGGCTCAGTTCCTGACCTCGTGTCACCAAAGCCAACCGACGTCATTAGAGGAGGATAGGAGGAATGGCACAGCTGCTGTGAGGGTGACTAGAATTTCCTGTCTCCTTCCTGACAGACGCAGTCAGAAAAGTACAGGGTTGCAACAACAGTGGCTGAGGCAGGACCGACCCAGAACAATCCCAGGGAGGCGTAATTGTAATTGTGACTGACGGGGAGTGGGGAGGTGTTCCTTCCCTCACGGTACTGAGAAACCTAGTCTCTCACCTAGAATTTTCAGGTGACAAACATCAAAGGGGGCATTCTTACCCAGCATGCTAAATGTTTTTCAGAAGATGAACATACCGTGGTATTCAGAAAGGAGCTATGTTCAAGCAACTAGTTACTGTCTTCACTTCCCCGACAAACTCCCTCCACTGCTCTCCATTGGTTTTTGCTCTGGGCTGTTTTATATGCAGTACAAAGGTTGGGTGCTGCTGGGTGAAAATGGGTATTCTGTTGTTGAAAAGAGCTGCCCTGTGTATTCATACTTTTTTTTTTTTTTTTTAGAATGAAACATTAGGACCTAGGACTTCAGTCAATGTTTGCCAAGATAAGAATGGTAGATAGATGGCCCTTTTTCTCTTAAGGCATTGTGAAGTCGACTGCGGATAACCATCTTGGGGAAGTGAGTCCTCCTGGCTATGCAGGCCTATTTTTCCAGTTCTTCAGGTGTGGCTGTGCTAGAGCACTAAACACAGAGCACAAAGACAGCTAATTGCCAGTGCTCTTGGGTGTGCAGGATAAAGTCACACAATTCTACCAGCTGGAGCCAGCTGGGAATTAGGCTGCATGACACTGGATGGTTATCATGGCAGACTGATTGCCCTAATGAGAGGTGAACCATTTTGTATTTAACTGAATAATCAGTAACTATGGAAAATGCCAGGTCCAGCAGAACTGACAGGAAATAGATCTTACTGGCCAATGGATTCATCCTAGAACCCTGTCAGAGAGAAGGAAGACAAGTGCTCAGTCCTTGAAAGGAATATTCATGCCACTTTTGCCTAAAATGTAATGATACGGTTATAGCAGCGCTACCCTTAGCATAAGATGGATCCTTTTCCTGGGCCCTGTGCTTTCATCAGAGGGCCTTAGCCTGGCCTTCCTTCTGCCCTCCGCCCCAGGAAGTGAGGAGGTCCCTAGAGATGGGAGGGCATGGGGAAAGAAGAGGGCCAACCTATATCCAAGGATTTCAAGAATTTTAAATTCAACCTGACCTTCCAGGCTATTATGGAGGGATATCTGTCTAGGGAGGGGTAAAGGAGATAGTTCAATGTATATCTTTGTATATTTAGACTTACGGTTTGTGACCCCACACATGTTAGCGGTGACCTGGATTAGAGATAAGAGTAGAATTAAAATCAGCT